ATGAGCTAATATTTTCTGTTTGACTATAGAAGTCAAAATACAGAGCACATCCGGCCTAAATATACAAAACTAATAATAGACTCCATTTTACTTTTAAACATTACAGTATAGCTGGAGTCCTAACACTGAAGAAAAAAACAGTTATACAACAATGATATGCTGACACTCACTACAAAAACTGAATTAATGTTTACAAGTTCTCAGCACTTGATGACTTCATGCAAATCATACTAAGTCAAATGCACAAAATGTGAAAATGGAACAGCAATGCTATCATTCAAATATATATGCTATAAACGTATGCCAGAAAGGCTAGATTTCTTCTGACTTTTGTGATTGTGATTTATTTTCTGGGATGCAAATGTTCAAACTAAATCAGAAAAGTTTAACTTCCTGAAGTCTGAACTACAGATAAAATAGAAATAAAATCCAATGTACTATACTGGTTAAAATATTTTTAATTCATTCTAATATCACACTGGTTCACTGGCTTCTCCCTTTTAGGAGAAATGCTCTTAGAGGAAAGTATTTCCACTGATCTCAATCAAAGGAAACTATTGAGATCGTTGTGATTTTATTCTCTAAATAAATGTAACTTCTTGAATAACAGTTTTTTTTTTTACACACATAACTAACCTTTTGGGAAAGCGCAACATTTTTTAGAACATGTGTACCCAGTAAAAGTACAGCAGCACCTAATTTGTGAAGCACCTAATCTCAGCATGAATCAAAAACTATACAATACCCATGCCTTTTATGCGTTTCAACACATATTTAAACATATTTCTGATTTTTGATTAAATTAGGTTTTTATCTTCCCCAACCTGCCTTTAGTGGGTTTTTTTTTTAAATCAGCCTTTTCCGCACAGAGACATTTCACCCTGATTTTCAGCGCAGCTGTGGAACTGTCTAATAATGCCCTCCAATGGCACTGAGCTCCGGCTTGCAGCCCAGCTCCGATGGGGTGTTCTTATGGTGCCGGATGCCTAAAAAGTTCATTAGGTCACTAGAGAAGGCTGGGTCAGGGTGTGGCCAGAAGAGAATGATATCCAGTTAAGCTGCCGTTTCTTGAGTGTGTAAATGGACAAAATGCATCTTGTACGACAGAACAGGGCATCATTCCGCACTACTAACTGATCACTCCTCACGTTGCCTGCCCTGTTTCACACCCAACCTCCCCATGAACCTGAGTTTTCAATTCTCTTTCTCTGCGATTCTGAAAGACTGACCACTAAATAGTCAATACAAGTTCCGAATATGATAGAATGTAATGTAATGTTTGTAATGTTTCTTTATTAGCCCTACACAATTTCTTGCATTAGGAATTCGTCTTTTCGCATACCCCAGCTTTTCTCCATGGAGACACAGACACACAGACAGGAAGAGAAGCTTGGGGTCAGAGCGCAGGGTCAGCCATTGTACAGCACCCCTGGAGCAGTTGGGGTTAAGGGCCTTGCTCAGGGGCCCAACGGAGTAGGATTCCTCTGCCGGCCGCAGGATTTGAACCGGCAACCTCCCAGCCACAGGTGCAGATCCTGAGCCACAGAGCCACCCCTCCACCTAAAGGGGGTGCTGAACTAGTACAAATCATCTTTAAAAACCAAGCCTATTGGTTTGGATTTGAAAATTGATGGTTACAAATACCGTATCCCAAAAAAGCATTCCTAGGCATGTACATGAAATAAGTTTGTTTAAAAGGGTGTAAGAAACTCAATCCCTAACATTTCGCTGCTTTTTCTTTCCCTGAAACCACAATTTGAACATCCATGTATAGAAAATATTTTAAAAACTGTATTGTGTAAGTGTGAAGTACAGACTATAACTGATTAAAAATATTACAAGACAGAAAGGGCAGCAGTAAATAAATAAATAAAAAAAAGATTATTCATCTATTTATCATGTTTACATGATTAGAGTATATCATGTCTTTCGGTGTCAGAAAAATACGCTGGAAATAATAAATTCTTCAAATTATTATAATTAAATTATATGACATGACATTTAGACATCATAAACTGTCTTTTTAAACACCAATTTACATACAAACAGGATCATAAATGGAGTTGAAAATCAACTGGTTACCCAACTTACAAATCATAAGCACAAGGTCATTAAGCAAACTGGGAAAAGACTATTGTTTTAAGTACAGCGGGATTTAAAAAGGCACAAAATCTGTGATTATATAACTTGAAATGTTTTCCACTGCTGGTAGCATAATGTGCCCTTGATCTATTTGCTGTAATGCACGCATGGTACTATAAGTCAATACTGTACAGGGGTGGATATACCACTGTCAAATCCAACAAACTCAACATCTATATCTCACACATTTCAACTAAGTGCTTGACAGCCTTAATGAAATTAAAAATGCTAGGAAAACATCAGATAGTGTTTTCTATCCTTATTAAATCATTCGGTCCTTATAATACCCTATCTACTTTATTCCCAGAACTTTGTGTTTTAAAAAATTATTCGCAGAGAATGAGAAAATAATACTCTATAAGATCTTTAATTTATAATGGTAAACAATGACATGCAGAAAACTACCACTTAGCATTATCATTAATAAAGTGAACATTTTTAATTACAGTTTAGAAATCAATTTTAAAGATCCATTTCCACATACAGTAACTGATTATTAGTCTTTATTGCTATATTACAGTATACTGTTTTAAATTTTGAACATAAAGGAAACCGTTAAAGCAAAGCTTTCAATGTGTTTTCTTTTCAGAAGTGCAGAACATTTTGGTGCATACAGACGTTGGGGGTAAAACCTAAGCCAATATATGCACAGAAAGTCTATAGTGAGAACACACAAAACATTTACCAAGCTCATAAACAAGCAAGACACTGTAAAACACCCAAAACACTCCCTCTAACTTTGCTTCACAATCATTCCTGAATCTGAAACTCAGGTATTCTACTGCAAGCAAGCTACTGTACTGTAAATAATATTTGCTGTATACAGTGCGCAAAAAAAAAAAGTATGCTTTCAAAAGACAAAAGTGAGCAAGACAGAGGACAAAGCCTTCAGTTCAGGTCCAGAAACATGTTGGGATAAGAGTTCCTGCCTCTTTATAAAGGCAGGCAGAAGGATACACAGCCAAGCAGAGGGCCTCAATAAGGCTGGTCAAGAGGGACTATGATACAGACGGCTACACAGCTGCAGAGAAGCCTACAGCTTATACTGCACTACAAGACAGATGTGCAGGGTGTGTGGTATCTACATGTGTATTTAAATTAACTTAAAAATCATAGACTTTATTTTAAAGAATTGATTGGCGCTCATGTTTTTGTCTGTATAAATCATTTAAATAAATTGAGGTATAAAAAATCCAAGTATTATTAATTCATAAAAGTAATTAATCATTTTTTTTTATCATTTAAAATCACATCTTTTCCCTTGCCACTGTCTATAAACAGTCTTTGTGAACTTACCTAGATATTACATCTTATTTTGTAAAAGAGTAAGAAGTGTTTTTAATTTCAGTTTAATTTAATTACAGTTTTTAAAGTATATGCATGTCGTAGAAAAGGCTTTCCCAAAACTTTCCAAGTTCCTCAAATTATACCTTAAATTACCAAGCATGCGCAACCACCAGCATTTTTAAAATTCCTGCAGTTTTCAAATTTAAATTATTTAATCTTCACACAAAATGTCTTCAAATAGTGGTTGTGGAAAGGAGAACTATTTAACCTGCCTTCACACATTTCTACAAATTGGGCTAAAGCTGATTGTAACTTCCTTTGGGATGAAGAAGAAATTGTCATAGTAACTGCACCACAACTTTTGGGGAATTATAATTGGATTGGTGTAGCCACACACGAAGGTAAGACTTGAGAACTGGAGACCTACAGTAGGTAACACTGTGCTTTTTAAAGTCATAACTGCAACCAATTCCGACCCATTTCCATCTCACAGATCTCCCAATTCAATTCCTGGAGGGTCTAGTAGGGGACGGTTTTTATTCTAACCAGGCTCTCAGTTACACAGTCTGAATAATTATTAAATTAGTTCCATAATAGTAATACTTGGGATCAGGATCCAAGGTGTTTGATAAGTAACTGTACCTCTGATGAAGCCAATGTTTTGAGTGTTAAACTGTTCCAGGTTTAGAACAAACATAAAGGATACTTACTGTATAAGAGGTTAATTTTTTAATTGACTCAGGCTGTCATGGAAAACTGGGAAACCTACAGTACTTCAGAAAGTGAGTCTGAGGCCCCTGCTTTATAGATCCAACTCAAAATGAAGAAGAAAATAATATTCTGTGCAGCGATTTAAACTTGATTTCCCAACCCTGCATACATGAGGCAGCTGCTACCAGTTGAAAGTTTTATTTTCATGAAATATGCTTCAAGTTCCAGTTTCCGGGCTTATTTGTGAATGACTGATAAGAGATGCCACTGGTCACGCCACAGCCAAGCCCACAACAGGAAACACAAAAACAAAGGGCAAGACGAGCAAGGTCCACTGTCTGACAGGTCACTGCCAACTGACAACCCCCCACATATCGAACAGCACCTTTCCCTCAGTGGGCTCAGAATGGCACATTTCAATCTAGCCCATACTTTCGGGTAACAAAGCACTTCAGTCCAGACAGCCTGAACGTTACATTTTCTGGACAGGTGTGCTGGGACACTACAGTATGCTAATGCAGAAAGTAAAATTGTTCTGTTGCCTTCACCCGTAGCAAAACGAACCAGGGGGTGCTTAGACTCCTCTGAAATCAAAAGCCCAGCCCTTTCACCTGTAAGCACAACGAAAGTGATAAGTGCCCTGAAAGATCCCAGGCACGTCTTAGCCGCCTGTATCAGTCCTAATGTTCAATCAGATGGCCAGCTCTCACGAAACTAGGCAACCCCTACATAAAACAATGAATGAACAGTCTGTTTTAATAAGTTCAAATAAAAAAAGAAAAGGAAACATCTCAGCATCATACAACCAACTTTCAACGCTTGTGAAAGTGTGCGATGAAGTAAAATCCCAGAGACCTTACCTGTGTATAGTCGAAGTCCGAGAGAGGCGCTATACTTTTGATGTAGTCCATTCTGAACTGGTTGTCTGGATTGCCTAACGGGACTGGAGGTATTAAAGTGCTCATCGCCGAAACTATAGTCTGCAAAGCAGATAAAAACAGAAACACAGGCATTAAGATGGATAAGTACAGGATAAATAAGAGGATAATCCAGTCTGATCAGCAAAATGGGATTGCTGTGTGCAATCTCACAGAAAGCAACGGCACGTTTTCATTTATTTTTATTCTCGATGTAAAAAGAAATAAAACCCCAAAATTACAACAATACCATACTTACCACTATGGCATCCTTTACATTTTTTCGAATGTCCTGGATTTTCTGTTTCTTTTCTCTGCATGAAAGAGGAATAGAGGTTACCTTCACGGACCCGACAGAAAACTGGGAAGAAACTTTCACTTAAAGGTCTTGGTTTTGACAAAATCTGGAGGTCAGTTTCCGCACACACACACTACAGTCAACTCCAGTGCTGTCTGTCTGCGGTGTGCCTGTACAGTACATCCTGTGTTACAGTATGTGCAGGAATAACACTGTTAAAAACACTATAGGGTCCTACATGTTAAAAAAAAAAATTAAACGATGAGTCACTAATTAATCAGCCGTAGCCTAATGTTAATATTGCTCAGCGGCGTTATCAGGAAAATGGTCAGATTCATAATCATACTGTATTCTCTCGTTAATGCAATTACGTCGGGTTCGGTTCAATATCGTGGTCGGGCGCCCTTCTGCAACCTTTTTTTTACCAGCTTTTGCCTCGACATGCGACACTGACACACTTCGAAAACGACATTCTGGCACGCATTCCCCTGCAGGTTACGCTGGCGCCCGGTGTAAATCTGTGACAATTTCGTCTTTCGCGTTAGGAGTTATTAGTAATCAGTGGAAACTAGTCGCCATGTTGTTGCTACACTGTGGGCCCAGGACGAACTGCAGTAACGCCGAAATACAGGGCAAATCTGCATGTATCTCTCCCCGACTCGCCCGGCTCACCCACCGAGTGTCACTGCAGGAACTGTGCACATTTTGCAACACCAGAAGAGGAAAACAATGTGTCAACCAGGGGCCCGCCGATGAATACGGATGCGATTAAAACAACAGTTCACTCACTCTGCATTAAATCCATTGACGTGTAGGATCCGCATCTGTTTGACAATAGTGCTCTTTCCGGACTCCCCAGCTCCTTTTAAAATAAAATCATCATAAAAAAAACAAATAAATGAATCGTGAACAAACAGAACGGCCTAAAATTTCCTGTTTCGCTAGCCATAACGAGATCCTCTGGAAACCCAAGGCAAGCGTATTATTACAAATACTCATCCGTGACACAGAGCTGTCAAACACAAGTAAGGGCGAAACAACGCACAGATTTTACACAACGCTATATATAAATAAAATCCATTTGGCCCGTCCTTACCCAGTAAAAGCAGTCGATGCGTGGCTTTGTACGCCTGTCTTTCTTTTTGCAACTGTTTTTCTATTTTTTTATTCGCTTCTCGTTGTGCTTTTTCGTCGATGCGTTGATCTTCAGTTTTGCTGTTGCCTAAACAACCCATCTTCCGCTATTTTCGCTTTTTTTTGTCTTACAAGAAATAGAGTAACAAAAATAAAAACTATACTATGTAGAATATATATATATATTTGTTTTAAAAAAAACCCAAACGGTGCAAAAAAAAAAATATCCGTGCGACGGTTCCTCCGTCGCTGCGAAAAAAAAAAGATCCCTCTCACAATTTTGTTCCGAACCTCTCTACACGCCGAACCTTAGAGGTAAAAAATATCCAATAAATATGTATACGTTATAAATAAAAAATCGTTAAAAGAAGTCTATAAATACACACAAAGAGTGGAGCGGGCTGCTTCTGTAATCCAGCCTACTGCTCCTCTCCCACTCCTTCTTCTCCACTCTCTATATTTCTATCTCAATTTCTATCTCTATTTCTGTCTCTTTAACTCAGCACTGCCTCTTTCTGCCGCACCAGGAAGTAGCCCTGAACCGTGAAAAAAAAGCTCGCTGTTCCAGTGTTGAGCTATACCCTACCGCTGGAGCAATAAATTGAACCGAATCCTTATAATCGACATCCTCTCCTGCTACAGAAACGTGTCGTTAATGAATTACACACAATCAGGTGGCTGTTCTTAAAGGCTGTGGCTGTACACCGTGGGCTGGATTTTTTTTTTTAAAAACGACAACGTAGGTAAAATCAAAGCCCAGGCTTATAGTTTTAGCACCATCTTACTATAATTGCAATTTCATTTTATATCTTTTTTTAAAAAAAAAACGAAAAGGTTGGGTTTTCGTGGTGTACTACGACTTGAGAAAAAGAAAAGGTAAGAGGACTGAGAGATGTAACAGATCCGAGAACAAAAAATAAAGCGGGGAGGAAAAAAAAGTTAGAATGTCCCTCGAATGACAAAAACTCGCCTGCTGCACCTCCCCTCACTCTGGAATAACTGAACTGGGCTCCGCACTGCCGCTGCTTAAAAACACCGGTATTGCAGCAGAAAACAAAGCAACTGCATCATTATTAAAGCCCAGACCGTTAAGAGAAAATGCAATTAATAGGCCGACCGTACATTTATCCAAACATGCATTTAAACAAACCATTGCAATGGTCATTACTATGGGCTCTGCTTGCTTTACAAGCTAAGTGTCAGACAACCGTGCCATCAGTAAGTGGTCTTAAAAATTGGGAATGCACCGACAACTGGGACAGTGCAGTGGCACAAGCCTGCATGTAATCTTCAAGAATCCACACATTTCACAGCTGGCTGTTAATTAATCACTCGAGATAACCCTAAACACATAAAAAAAAAATGCTAGTATGGACCGAAACTAAACAGGATACACGAGACTGTAAAGACTGTTACGACACCCTGTGGAAATTGAACCTTGGTCATTCCAGTGCTAATGCAACAGATTCATCAGAGGAAGGTGGACAAGCTGTAAGCTGGGGGACTAATGAGATGCAAAGACCCATCATTGCAACTTCAGTCCACATCTGCCAAGCAAGATCTGAGCAAGAAAGCTAACATCACACCTTCCAGCTTCCTGGAACAGTTGTGTCTTCCACAGAGTTCAGATGTTGCTTCTTCCCTGTACAGAGGTTTGACACTTGTACAGCTTTGTCCAGTGCAGTAGTAAGTACCCAGTAAATGATCAGTCATGGTAAAATACAGCAGCAGGTCTGTCATAATGTAGAGTCTATAATAATGTAAAACTGGTAGTCTTTAATAATGGAACAAGTAAAGGTTGATTCCATGCTGATAAATAGAAAAGAGAAACAGTTTCAGCTGTAGAGTCTTCTTCGGGTATTACTTGACAGCCAGGGCATGCCGACACGGCTCCAAGCTTGAACGTCTGTAACAACGAACAGCTTCATGTAGAAGACCCATGTCAAAACCATCTGAAAATATCTCAAGAAAAGTGGTTAAATCTTTCCAAAACGCTACATTGGACATATTACATTTTTCCCAGCTTCCATTATTTGCTAAAATGAAAGAAAAACAGAACGTTTGTTTTCTCATATTGTCCTTTTTCTACAGAAGTGCTCTGACTTCACATCTAGTTTGACGGACAGCTGGTATTGGACTGGACCGTGAGTATCCGGCGCTCCATGCTGGGATGCCTGGGACAGAGACGGGCAGGATATGGACAGGACACTGTCGGGAGTCTTAGGGCACGGGCAGGTGCTTGCTTGTAATTGAACCCCAGCCACCAGCTCCTAAGGTCCTACCTTGACACCAAAAAGTTCAAACTCTTTGACGAGGTACATTGAAACCTCCTTACCAACACCTTGGACATGTGCATGCAACAGGTATGTGTGGAGTAAAGTGTGCACAGGCTCTGAAGAAAGACGCCTCATTGCTGTCTGGTATGGAGGAAGGTCAACACGAGTACAGGGTGCCACGCTTTAATTAGCAGGGCAGGGTTGGGAGATGAGTGGTTTTAAAAAAAACAAAAAACAGTGAATGCAGAACAATGTTAAAAGAAAAGGAATGACTCCACTGGACAATCCGCTTGGAATTTCTGAAACATCTGAAACACAGAGCAAAACCCACATTTTTCCAAGAAACATAAAACAGCTGTTCTTGACAGGCCTTCTCAGTTTTTAGACTTTAATCAGACTCTGACACTAAAGACGGACCTTAATTATTAGTAATTAATAGTGAGGCAGTGCCCCCCTAGTCTGGTGAACAGTGTACGCAAAATAATGGGCTGGAATCCCAACTAGGAGATGACAAAAGATGACTCAGAAGTGCCCTAGTCAATGGCCTGCTGTACAGAAAAGGGACTTATAAAACATTGGCAGAACCAATAGGAATACTTATTCCTGATTCAAATACAGCTAATGTAATTTTTGATTCAGAAGAACTTGACTAGTAAATAATTATTTCAATCATCATGTATTTGTAACTGCATCCATGAATTAAAAAAAAAGTGTTGAGAATGTGAATATTTATTACTTGAACTACAGTACTGTATGTATAAACAGAAATAGCCACTGTTCCAATAAATAATTATAGGGTTTACTAAATGAAGCTTAAGGGATATTGGATTCAAAGAAAATCAGATGCTTTCATAGTCTTAGCAATTGCTGTATGCCTCTAGTGCTGAAGCACGATTAGACTTGCACTTGTGTTTTCACATTGTGATTTGACTGGTTATTCTCTGTGTATAAAAACTGCAAAAAGTGGATATAAAAGAAGGGATATATTAGACACATTCTGTCACTTTTGCTAAAGAAATTGCACAACCAGCTAAGAAAAGGTAAAAGCTGGGCAGTCACAGGAACGCTGCAGAGTGGAGGCACCTAAAGGCATATAGCCAAACTACTGAATGTCTCACAGTTAATCATGGCATAATCAGTTAATCAGTTCCCAGTGTCAAGTATTTAGTAGATGTCCAAGGTGCATAGCTGGCTACCAGGACTGACTGATGGTTACTATTGCTTATTCTAAGAGATCACAAAGTGCAACACAACACTGACAGCGGCTGAAAGAAATGACAGCAGTCCACAGCTGTCCATACAAACCGTGAGAAAGTGAACACTAGGAATCTGTGAGCCCATGGAGCATAATCCATGCCATTGGAGCAGACAACACTGGCAACGAACAACAACCGAGTCATCTCACTTAATGCTCTCCAACGGGTCAAGGTCCATGACAGGGCGTGTTCTCATGGGAGAAAAGAGTAGCAGCCTTCTGCAATGGACCTTTATGGCTTTATGGCCGATATGGAACAGAATGTCTATGATTAGCACAGCTGGCTACCACAGGGCCGCGTCGCAGCTCCCTGCTCATGCAACAGCATAATCAACCATCACGTTATGCCCTTCCGCGCACTGCGAAGACAGCGGATTCGTTTTTTGAGCCGACAGCGCCCAAACTCAACTTGTGCATGCCATTACTGGCACCTCTGCACCACAATACTTAACTAAAAAAAACCAAACTGATTCCATTGCTTAGTCAGCAATGTCCCCAGACCTGTTGCTCATAGAAAATGTTTAGGAAATTAGGAAATTGATTGGCCACAGAATCAGGAAGGGATCTGAAAGAATAGCTCAAGTGCCATCAGGCTGACCCAACAGACAGAGCATCAGCATGAAAGTCCACCTGGTGGCTGACATCACTTTTGGATGTTTAGCAGTACCATTGTCACACATTTAATGTCCCATATAATGTATATACAGTATGGAATGATAATCAATACAAGTATTTTAACGATGCAGTTAGTGAATACTTACATTGCTGGTCTTCTACTTGCTGGAATGCTATCTATATAGATTTACAACTCATTCAACCTTGGTGTCAGAAATATTTGTGTAAACTCTTGGAACCAACACACACCCTGAGGCTGTTGCACTTTCATTTCACAAATGAATAATAATAATTCCCTATATTACACTTATGTAGCGGAGGAGAGCAGAGTGATGAAGCCGGTTCAGAGATGGGGATTATTAGGAGGCCATGATAGGTAAAGGCCAATGGGAAATTTGGACAGGACACCGGGGTTACACCCCTACTCTTTTCGAGAAACGCCCTGGGATTTTTAATGAGCACAGAGAGTCAG